GAGTTGACTTCTTCCAGACCTTCTCCCCTACCCCGAAGATGACCACTCTTCGGGTACTGTTGCACGTTGCCGCTCAGCGTGACTACGAGCTTCACTCTCTTAACTTCAGCACAGCTTTCTTGCAGGGCAGCCTGCACAAGGAGATCTGGCTGCGCCGCCCACCTGGCTTCACTGGGTCGTTCCCTCCTGGTACCCAGTGGAGCCTCCGGCGGCCAGTCTACGGTCTCCGCCAGGCGCCTCGTGAGTGGCACGACACACTGAGGACGACACTTGCGGCTCTTGGGTTTGCTCCTTCGACTGCTGACCCGTCGCTGTTTCTGCGCACCGACACTTCGCTGCCGCCGTTCTACATCCTCGTGTACGTCGACGACTTGGTCTTCGCCACTGCTGACACTGAGGCACTCGCCCTTGTGAAGTCGGAACTGCAGAAGAGACACACGTGCACAGACCTGGGTGAGCTGCGCAGCTACCTTGGCTTGCAGATCACCCGGGACAGAGCACGCCGCACCATTACCCTGACTCAGTCACACATGGTGTAGCAGGTCCTTCAGCGCTTCGGCTTCCAGTTCTCCTCACCACAGTCCAGTCCTCTATCTACCGGTCACTCGCTCTCAGCTCCACCTTCGGACGAGTCCGTAGAGCCGAGTGGCCCGTACCCAGAGCTTGTGGGCTGCCTCATGTACCTGATGACCTGCACTCGACCTGACCTTGCGTACCCTCTTAGCATCCTTGCTCGTTACGTTGCGCCTGGGAGACACCGGCGAGAGCACTGGGAGGCTGCTAAGAGGGTGCTGCGCTACTTGTGCAGTACATCAGGCATGGGGCTGGTGCTTGGAGGACGGGGTGACGTTGTCCTCACTGGACACTCAGACGCCTCTTGGGTTGACGACCAGACTACACAGCGGTCGTCACAGGGTTACACCTTCAGTCTTGGTTCCGGCTCTGTCTCTTGGCGGTCCACTCGCTCTTCTTCTGTTCTCAGCTCCAATTGTGAGGCTGAGATCTATGCCACAGCCATGGCTGCACAAGGAGCTTCGCTAGCTCACCAACCTGCTGACTGAGTTGGGAGAGCGGCCTCGTTCTCCTCGAGTTTTGTACGGCGACAACAAGGCGGCCCTCGCCTTGTGTCAGGAGCACAGACTGGAGCACAAAACGAAGCACATCGCTCTGCGTTACTTCCTTGCTCGAGAGCTACAGCAGCGTGGCCAGCTTCGTCTTGCTTACGTGGACACGCGGGCCAACACTGCTGATGTGTTCACCAAGGCACTTCCGCCTTGTGACCATCAGCGCTTTTGCACAGCGTTAGGCCTGGTGCCTGTGTTTGCTCACTTGCTTACCTCTTGACTTTGTTTGTACTGTGATCTATATTATATACCTGCATGCCTACTCCTGCTAGGTAGTGATCACTGTATTGTTGTTGTTGCATATATGCCTCTGCATGTGAACTGGCCTTGTGGCCCTTTGTTTGTGCTCAGTGTGTGTGGTGACATTGTGATCCACCCTGAGCTTGCTTGCTTTTCTTGACTGGTCTTGTGACCCCTTGTTCTCCCCCACTTTGCCTATGGGGGTGTGTCAAACTATATATGTGTTAGTTCTGTGTAGGCTATAGTGGGGTAGCCCATATGGGGTACAACCCAATGTTAGGGTTAGTACTTGTACCCACAATCCCTTCAATGCAATCATTCATGCGCTTTGATTCTGACATGGAATTGTATAAGAATTTTATATTCTGGCACTCTTGCTAGCATTTTGGCCCTCTGAAAATGAAAATTTCAAAAATCGTTTCGTCTGACGTTCGGACGGGCATTTTTTTTGGTCGGATTTTTTAGGTGAATGTTGGAGCTGTGTCCGACTTTTTAGACGACTTATCTTGCATAGTCTGATTTAACAAAAATACTGATCGAGCATGATTCAACCTTTTTTTTTTTCCGAAGCTTATGAAGACGCCGTTTGTGTGGCCCTGACAGCAGCACGCTGTCAGAATCCCAGCCACTAACCACTGGGATAAAAGGGCTTGTTTGTGTAGCGGGTGAGTGCGCCTATAACCCCCCAGGCCGACGTGCCTGTAACCCTTCCCTAGGATCAATCGGGGATCTCCAGTGGACCTCTGACACCCCCCCGCACTGGGATGCCCGAGGTGCACACACCGGGATTCGAACCCGAGACCTTTGCTCTGATACCATGTCAGAATCCCAGCCACTAACCACTGGGATAAAAGGGCTTGTTTGTGTAGCGGGTGAGTGCGTCCATAACCCCCCAGGCCGACGTGCCTGTAACCCTTCCCTAGGATCAATCGGGGATCTCCAGTGGACCTCTGACACACGCTAGTCGACAGGCGTGTGGCAGGTTGGGTGGCGAGGGGCTGAATGTGGAATGGGATGTGTTGATAAGAATTAGGAGTTGGCCCCGTCCTCGCTTGGGCGAAGCCGACTTCGTTTTCAGGTGCGCGGGAGGTGCAGCTGACCGACTTTAGTGGTAGACGCCGGCCTTGGGCGAGCAACTCGACAAGGTTCGTCGACCTGCAGGGGACTGCTGCGACGCTGCTGCCGACAGGAAGCTAGTGGCCGACTTCGACGGGGCAGAGCGACGACGGTGGTCGTCGACATGCGCGGGACCATCGCGAAGCCGTCGACGAAGGGAGTTCGACGGGCGCGGCCTATTACGCTGGTCGACGGAGGGGCTCGTCGACCAGGGTGGTGCTCGACGCGAGTAATGCTTGACAAGGGAGGTCGTCGACCACGGCCCCGGGTGGTGGTACCCGGTCGACCAAATAACCTGCTCGACGAGGTTCTGCGGAGGGGCGCGAACGTCGTCGAGGCTGCGATGGCAAAGGCGACCTCGGGTTGGTATCCTGAGGCCGACGTGGTTCTTCAAGGCATAATCGTCAGCACGTGGCCGACTTGGGACTTGCGCGGCGGTGCATAGCGTGGTCGACCATCTCTGCGCACCTGCAATGTAGGTGCACACCTGCGCTACTGTCACCTGCGGTTGCAACGCTGACTGACCGCTCTACTACAGCGTTGGGAGACCGCCTTGGTGCAACGTTGGCAAGCCGTCGACGTGCTCTGTTGGCAAGTTGCCCTTCTGCAACGCTGGCGCGGTTCCTCTACGCAATGCTGACAGATGTCGACCTTGCTGCGCTGGCAGTCGACGAGCTTCCTTGCTAGGTTGCTAAGCTCTCATGTAGTTGAATTTTCTATTTCTATTGCAACCATTGCTGTTGTGAACTTTCTCTTGTGAAACTTTTGCCAATTTTCCCTGTGCGCAAGTAGAGAGAACACACACGAACGCTACGATCACTCGTACTGCCCATGCTTTTCCCGTAGTCCAACTCTCGGTGTAGAGTGACTCTCCGCATGGTGCGGTGAGCGTGGACGGCCCTGCAGAATACCTTCAGACTAGTCGTTCGTACATGGGGTGCGTGAGATTGGTGCAAGCGTAATCATGATTACGCACATGGGGGGTTATCCGGAAGAAGATTCCTGGAAGCTTCGTCCCGATAACGTTGCATTCACGGTCCACAAGATGCATCCTCTGGATTGACAGGGTCCATAAGAACACTACTCTGTGAGTGTATACAAAATTTCAGGGTTTGATAAAGTACTACTCTGACAGGATCAGTGTTCAGAAGTCGTTAAAACTGAAATACATGGACCAGAATATGACAAGTCTGAAATCACCCTGAAATCAAGTCAATTACCCTGATAAAATCAGCCATGGGGGGAAGTTCTAGTTGGATCCAACTCGAATTCAGGGTTACTATTTTGCCTGCTCGCTTTAACATTGTATGCACCCTCATCGGCTATGCGAATGTGATGGATAAATTCTATTTTGAAAATGCGAACCGGTATGCTTAATGGTACAAAATATGATCATATGCTAGTAGTAGTTGAAATGAAAATAATGGTAATAATGCTTCGCAACCCTAAGACGATTTCGTCGCCTCTTGTTCGGAATTACGGTACTAAGATGGAATTCTAATTTATTTAAAGCTTCCAGGAAACACGCGCACATGCTACGTAATTTGTTTTAACCACAAACATTTTGTTGATAATGTCACACCATCCCACACCATGTTACACAATTACACCGGCGTGATGACGTGAGGGTGTCAAGGGCAGGGTGGCTTGGCGCGTAGCGGGCCCATGGGCGTGCGGGAAGAGCCGGGCACAGAGGACGGTGGGGGCTTGGTGATGCCCAGATACTGCTCCACCTGGTGGCATGGGCGTGGGCGTGGGGGGTGGGGATGGGAATGAGGGACATGGGTGGAGGGAATAGAGGGGACCAAGGGGGTGACGGGGGGAAGAGGAATAGAGGGGACAAAGCAGTGGGGCAGAAGAGCAAGAGGCGCCCATCGTATGGGTGCAGCAGTATCATTAGAGTCCCCGCCCAACAGCCGCTACTAGCTCCTATTGCACTCCCTCGCACCGCCCCCGCGCTCCGCCTTGTTCCCGCTTGCCTCGTTGCGGCCCTTGGCAGGTGTAAAGGTCACTGGCGTCCCATGCCCTCAACCCTTCCCAACACCATGCAAATCACCTTGCTTCACCTATTATCACGTTCCCTTACAAGCAATCACCGCCATTGCGCGCCTCACCTTGGCATCGCCCAGCATGGGCGTGAGGCTGCCCACCACTTCCCTCTCCTTCTCCATCGTGGCAAACGAGTTGGCCGGGTCCGAGATCTGCCTGCTCCCACCCCACCACAGGGGGACATGGGCGCACATGCACGAGTATTGGAAGGCAGGCAGTGAGGGGGATGGAAGGCAGGCAGTGAGGGGGATGGAAGGCAGGCAGTGAGGGGAATGGAAGGCGCTGGGGGTGAACCGATGGAATGCAGGGGGTAGAAGGTTGCCTACAAAAAGGGGGAAAGGAGGGAACACAGAGGGGGAACGGACAAGAAATACACACACATCCACACTTGCACACACATGAAAACAATTGCGACAGTTGGAGCTTCCATTCCCTCCCGCCGTCCCTCACGCCCTTACTCCTCCCCTGCACATGTGCCCTTCCTCCTCCCCTGCACATGTGCCCTTCCTCCTCCCCTGCACATGTGCCCTTCCTCCTCCCCTGCACATGTGCCCTTCCTCCTCCCCTGCACATGTGCCCTTCCTCCTCCCCTGCACATGTGCCCTTACTCCTCCCCTGCACATGTGCCCTTCCTCCTCCCCTGCACATGTGCCCTTCCTCCTCCCCTGCACATGTGCCCTTCCTCCTCCCCTGCACATGTGCCCTTCCTCCTCCCCTGCACATGTGCCCTTCCTCCTCCCCTGCACATGTGCCCTTCCTCCTCCCCTGCACATGTGCCCTTCCTCCTCCCCTGCACATGTGCCCTTCCTCCTCCCCTGCACATGTGCCCTTCCTCCTCCCCTGCACATGTGCCCTTACTCCTCCCCTGCATTTGTGCCCTTCCTCATCCCCTGCACATGTGCCCTTCCTCCTCCCCTGCACATGTGCCCTTCCTCCTCCCCTGCACATGTGCCCTTACTCCTCCCCTGCACATGTGCCCTTACTCCTCCCCTGCACATGTGCCCTTCCTCCTCCCCTGCACATGTGCCCTTACTCCTCCCCTGCACATGTGCCCTTCCTCCTCCCCTGCACATGTGCCCTTCCTCCTCCCCTGCACATGTGCCCTTCCTCCTCCCCTGCACATGTGCCCTTACTCCTCCCCTGCACATGTGCCCTTGCTCCTCCCCTGCACATGTGCCCTTACTCCTCCCCTGCACATGTGCCCTTCCTCCTCCCCTGCACATGTGCCCTTCCTCCTCCCCTGCACATGTGCCCTTCCTCCTCTCCTGCACATGTGCCCTTCCTCCTCCCCTGCACATGTGCCCTTCCTCCTCCCCTGCACATGTGCCCTTCCTCCTCCCCTGCACATGTGCCCTTCCTCCTCCCCTGCACATGTGCCCTTGCTCCTCCCCTGCACATGTGCCCTTCCTCCTCTCCTGCACATGTGCCCTTCCTCCTCCCCTGCACATGTGCCCTTGCTCCTCCCCTGCACATGTGCCCTTCCCCTGCACATGTGCCCTTCCTCCTCCCCTGCACATGTGCCCTTACTCCTCCCCTGCACATGTGCCCTTCCTCCTCCCCTGCACATGTGCCCTTGCTCCTCCCCTGCACATGTGCCCTTACTCCTCCCCTGCACATGTGCCCTTCCTCCTCCCCTGCACATGTGCCCTTCCTCCTCCCCTGCACATGTGCCCTTCCTCCTCCCCTGCACATGTGCCCTTCCTCCTCTCCTGCACATGTGCCCTTCCTCCTCCCCTGCACATGTGCCCTTCCTCCTCCCCTGCACATGTGCCCTTACTCCTCCCCTGCACATGTGCCCTTCCTCCTCCCCTGCACATGTGCCCTTCCTCCTCCCCTGCACATGTGCCCTTCCTCCTCCCCTGCACATGTGCCCTTGCTCCTCCCCTGCACATGTGCCCTTACTCCTCCCCTGCACATGTGCCCTTCCTCCTCCCCTGCACATGTGCCCTTCCTCCTCCCCTGCACATGTGCCCTTCCTCCTCCCCTGCACATGTGCCCTTCCTCATCCCCTGCACATGTGCCCTTCCTCCTCCCCTGCACATGTGCCCGCATACTCCTCTCACGCTCAACCCCTGTGCCTCCTCAATCCCCCCAGCGAACTCACTCCGGCTTCACATGCCCAGTGACGACCACATAGGACGACTGGGTGTGCTCCTTGCAGCTCTGCCATAAGATGGCGTGAGCATTCCCCCTCCTCCCTCCATCATGCACATCATTCCTCCGACTCTCATCCTCCCCCCATCACACCCTCAACATCCCCCTCACGCCCCCAAACTACCCCTCAAGTTCTCACCGCCTCAAGGAACAAGCTCAGCCCTGGCAGCGCACTCGCCCTGGCTTCACATGCCCAGTCATCACCACACACAGGGCGCGTCTGCGCCGACACCTCCTTGAGGCCACGCCGTGAGATAAAGAGAGGCCCCCCCCCCTCTCCCTCCCATTCGTGGAAGAATTCAGGTCGTGTCCGTAGGGACGACATGTCAAGCTCGCGAGTTTCAACTTGCGATTTTAACGCTTGCCAACATTGCTGGCAGAGTGTCAACGACACGCAAACTGCCAGCCAGTCAAATTCGTCAGGCAGGCATTCTGCTCTGCCAAAGTCTTATCGCCATTCAGCCAAACAAATTGGTCGCATCAAGATTCAGAGTGGGTGAATTTGTGGGCCTGGCGAAGCACAGTGTTGCGCGGGACCTGCAATTTCGCGCAAGAGATCGCCTGTGTACTCACATTTGTGACCAGCCAATCATATTGCGTCGCAGAATTCTGTGCTGCGCTTCGATTTGACACTGAAGCTACAGTGCATGACACTTCAAACTTGACGCGCTCCGGGGGTTGACACTGCCAATGTTGACATGTCATCCCTACGGACACGAACTCAATGTATGTTCCCATGCAACCTGCCAGTTTATCACATCCTTGAACCGTTCGCTCACCCCGGCTTGACATGCCCGGTGATGACCACATAGGGTGACTGCGTCTGCGCCTGCACCTCCCTGAGGCGTTCCACGGAGTGCATGGGCGTGTCCCCCGCCGCCATGCCCTTGCGCTTGAGCTCCTCCTCGTATGCGCGCATGCGCTTCTCCTGCTTCATCTTGCCCGGCCCCTTCCCGTGGAACGCGTGTGACAGCTTGCGGAACGCCTCCTTGGGGGTCATCTGTGGGGCAGGCAGGCAGTATGGCAGCAGAGGAATGGAAACACCACTTAGTCGCCTCAAAAGTCACCTCCTTCGCCTCTTACTTTAAAGGTGCCGCACTCTTGCCAGTCCTTTGCCGCACTCTTGCCAGTCCTTTGCCGCACTCTTGCCAGTCCTTTGCCGCACTCTTGCCAGTCCTTTGCCGCACTCTTGCCAGTCCTTTGCCGCACTCTTGCCAGTCCTTTGCCGCACTCTCGCCAGTCCTTTGCCGCACTCTTGCCAGTCCTTTGCCGCACTCTTGCCAGTCCTTTGCCGCACTCTTGCCAGTCCTTTGCCGCACTCTTGCCAGTCCTTGGCCGCACTCTTGCCAGTCCTTTGCCGCACTCTCGCAGAAGACCTTGTGTTCTTATGGTTGACAGTCACGTGTGCCAGCATGAGTGACAGCATAACCCAGGTCATGACCCATATCAACCAGCCCACAGTGCACGCCCACCGGTTCCCTGGCGCACCCGACACCTCCACACCCTGAGCAACCCACCACCGGCCTTATCCGCCAACGCAACCCCCCCCCCCCCCCCCCCCCCCCCTTTGCAACGCACCACGCGGCCGAACTCATCGATGCGGTCGATGCGCACTTCCTTGAAGGCATGGGGGCGCTCATGGCCTTTCTCGTCCAGCACGCCCACCAGCTTGCTGCGCTTCTTGTCCATGGTGCGCCCGCCCCACTCCACCTCGCCCTTCAGCGCCCCTCTGTCCTTGAGCAGCGCCAGTGCCGCCGCCAGCCCCTTGCCCACCGGCGCCTCCGAGATCGCATCCACCCCTGCCTCCCCCTCCCCCGCCCCCGCCCCCTCCCCCTTCTCCGCTCCTCCCCCTGCGCCCTTGCCCTCGCCTGCGCCCTCCGCGCTCTCCTCTGCATCAGCCATCTCCTCATCCTGCCCGTCGCGCTTCACCTCCATCCACCCGCCCCCGTCTGCACTCCCCGTGCCGGCAGCAGAGGAGGAGGAGGGGAGGGGGAAGGCGGCAGCAGCAGCGGCCAGTTCTTCCTTGGCGGCAGCAGCGGCTTCCCTCGCATTCACTCGCTTCACCAGCGCTGCGAGGTGAGGGGCATGGGGGCAGGGGGAAAGAGAGGAAAGGAGAAGAAAGGTAGGAGGGAGGGAGTGGGTCAACGTACATACAAGAAGCACGTCGCAGTGAACCGCCTCTTGGTGCGCATTCGAATTGCTTGCATGCCTTCACTCCCCTCATGACTTGCACCTTCTCTGCCAGCTCATCGCCGTGCCAGCTCACCATCATCATCCTGCCACTTCACAATCATCCTGCCACGTCACCATCATCCTGCCACGTCACCATCATCCTGCCACGTCACCATCATCCTGCCACCTCATCATCATCCTGCCACGTCACCATCATCGTGCCACCTCACCATCATCCTGCCACACCACCATCATGCTGCCACCTCACCATCATCGAGCTGCAAGCCGCGGCAGAACTCCCCAGTGTCGCTGAACACAAGCCCGCGTCCCACGCCCTCCGCACCCTCCCCTCTTTCCCCTTCCTCCCCCTCTGCACCCTCCCCCATCCGCCTCCTCACGCGCCCCACCTGCTTCACCCGCGCCAGCACCAGCGCCTCGCCCCTCACCGCTGCCCCTGTCCCCCCAACCCCTGCCCCGCCCGCACCACTCCCTGTTTCCATGTCCGACTCCTCTTTCACCTTCCCCCTGTCACCCCCATCCCCATCCCCACCACCCCCAGCAGCAGCCCTGGCAGCGGCCTCCTCTTCTTGCCGGCGGCGGAGGGCGAGCTGGCGGGTGCGCTGCAGCGAGCGCTGCAGGTCCTCATCGTCGTCGCCTATCACCACCGTGTCCTCCTCTTCCCCTTCCTCCGCCTCTTCCTCCTCCTCCTCTCCCCCTTCCCTGCCTGCCTCCTCGCCCTCGCCCTTCTCCTCTTCCTCCCCCTCCACCTCTTCCCTCTTCACCACCGCCTCTCCACGCCCTTCCTGCCCTCCCTCTCGCCCATGCACATCCATCTCCTCGTTCCCAACCCCCCTCTCCGCCCTGCCACCCACTCCCCCCTCCTCCCCTGCGCCACCCTCTCGCTCTCCTTTCAGCACCATCGAGGCCTGCACGGCCTTGGCCTTGGCACTATCATAAGCCGCCCGCCCGCCCCTCTCCTCCCTCGCCTGCTCCTCTCTCCGCCTCGCCGTCACCCCTGTCTCTCCCTCCCTGTCCCTCCTCCCCAGATCCGAACCTCTCCCCAAACCTGCCGCCCGAGCCTGCGCCTCCAGCTTATCCAAATCCAATTTCTCCTTCTTCCTCTTCTTCTTCATCACACCCCCTCCACCCTCCCCTCCTCCACCCTCCCCCTCCTCATCAACCTCATCCCCCCCTCGTCGCCGCCGGCTCTCCTTCTTGCGCTTTGGCTTTCGGAACTGTGCTGCCGCCCGCCGCTGCTCCATCTCCTCCGCCGTCAGGAAGTCGCTCGCCACCTTTGGGGCGGCAAAGCTTGTCCCATCCGCCCCTCCCCCGAACGTGGTGCTGCCCAGCGCGATGGGGGCAGGGGGGAGCGCGCTTGCTGCGCCCTGCAGCCTGCTGCGCACCTGGAGAAGAGGGGGGGAAAAGGGGGGGAGGGTGAAGTGAAGGAGAAGAGAAGACAAGACAAGCTCCGCTTACAGCCTGTTCATGCGTGCACGCACCAGGGGAGAGTAGCGTGCGTGCGTGTGGCAGGTGGAGAGGGAGGGAAGGGCGGGAGGGGAGTCAGGGAAGGGGAAGAGCAGGAAAAGGACGAGGAAGGAGAGGAGTAATGACAAGAGGAGTAATGACAAGAGGAGTAATGACAAGAGGAGTAATGACAAGAGGAGGAGCGAGGGAGTGGAGCAGCGGATGATACTTTAGGCGGACGCTCCCCTGAGTGGGCGAGAGGGTGGGGTGGGAGCAACAAGGAGACAGTGAGGCAAGCCACGACCAGGATTGCAATGTCTCCTTCACTGCTTCTAACGAATTGCGATGCCTGCAAGGATAAGTGCACCGCTGCCCCCCTTTCCGTCTGCTCTCCCTCTCGCCCCGCCTCTCCCTCTCGCCCCGCCTCTCCCTCTCGCCCCGCCTCTCCCTCCCCTCCCCCTCGCCTCTCCCTCCCCTCCCCCTCGCCTCTCCCTCCCCTCCCCCTCGCCTCTCCCTCCCCTCCCCCTCGCCTCACCCCCTCACCTGCCCTCACCCCTTGCCTCGCCTCACCTGGTCCAGTCGCGAGCGAGTGGCCTCGTCCAGCCCGCCTGACCCGTCCAGCACTATGCCCTGCCGCCCACCCCATGCGCCACACCACACCCACGCCACGCCACGCCACGCCACGCCACGCCACGCCACGCCACGCCACACAACGCCACGCCAGCCATGGCCAGCGGCCAGCCGTGCGGAACAGAGGCGGCAGGGGAAAGAGGGGAGAGTGGGGGGAGGTAGGGTTGAAGGGCGCATGGCATGAGAGTAAAATAGGGGCGTCGTTCAAGGTGTGCACTGCACTGCACTGCACTGCACGCACTGGGCATGGTCATCATGGATCACTTGCCCTTCCAACCCCTCTGCCATCACATCCCCACTGGTCACCCCTATTCCTATCCATCCCCCCTGCACCTCACCTCGTCCTCCTGCCCTCACCTCGTCCTCCTGCCCTCACCTCGTCCTCCTGCCCTCACCTCGTCCTCCTGCCCTCACCTCGTCCTCCTGCCCTCACCTCGTCCTCCTGCCCTCACCTCGTCGTCCTGCCCTCACCTCGTCGTCCTGCCCTCACCTCGTCGTCCTGCCCTCACCTCGTCGTCCTGCCCGTCGTCATACTGGGGCAGCATGGGCTTCTTCTCGCCCTCGTCCTCCGCAAACCTGCGCCACGTGGGGGGGGGGGGCAGGGAGAGCGGGAGGCACGGAGGGAGGGCAAGAGGCAGTGGACGAGGGAGGTAGCAGATGAGAGATTCGGGCCTTTCGAACGTGCCTCTGACTTCTCTCAATGTCTACCGCACTCCATGCAACGCTTCCATACCAATCATGAATATGCCCCAACCGACCCGGCCCCGGCCCCGACTGGTTGATGACCCGGCCCCTCTCATCTCACTTGTCGGCAATGCTGGTGGTCTTCTTGGCAGCGCGGTACGCCTTGTCCCGCCGGCTCTGCTCCGCCGCCTCCACGTTCTCCAGCTCGTCCTCGTCTGCCACCCGCCCCCACCACAGTGACAGTGCTCCCACACGCCAAGTGGGGTCGCGGAGGAGATGGGTTGGGGTTGGTCGCAGGGTAACACAGGAGGAGCGCAGGAGGGGTGGAGGAAGGGAGAGGGAAAAGAAGAGAGTGTTGAGGAAGGGGAAAGGGGAGGAGTAGTGATACACAAAGAGTGGGTGCGAGCACGAGGAGGGGAGCCTGACAATACGAGGCAACGTGGAAAGGCAGGCAGCAGCAACACTCGGACGCCCACCGCAGTATACTCTCAGGCACGCAAGCGAGCACGCAAGCAGGCACGCAGGCAGGCAGGCAGGCAGGCAGTGAGGTAGGTAGGTAGGCAGGTAGGCAGGCAGGCAGGCAGGCAGGCAGGTATCCGCACCTTCATTGACGTCGTCCCCCGCGAGAATAGAGGCGTCCTTAAGCGTGAGCACCACGGCCGCCCCCTCCTGCAGCACCGCGGCCACCCCGTGCCTCACCCTCAGCCCCGCAAGGTCGCCTGAAGCTCGCAGAGGGGGACGGGGCAGCGGAAGGGCGTACGGCGGCAGGCAGCAATGGAGAGAGAAGGGGGGAAGCGGACGAGAGGGGTTGGGCGCGGGACGGAGTGAGGTAGTTGGCGATGAAAAGGAGAGCGAGGGTTTGGGGAGGGGAAGGCAGTTGAGGGAAAAGAGGAGAAGTCAACAGCATGACGTGGGTGGGGGGTGAGGGAGAGGCAATAGGAGGAAACACGCATGGCGAGATCGGCTTGCGAGAAGGGAAGGGGAGTGGGGTAGAGGGGGTGTGGGGGGAAAGGGATGGTCCGGGTGGGGGGCGGGAGTGGGCGCTCACGAGAGGTGTACTCAGGTCGCGATGACCGCTGCCGCCCTCCTCGCTCCTCGTCGTCCTCCTCCTCCTCCGCGGCCGCGTCGTCCTGCGGTAAGATCACAACCGACAAACGCACGGCACTGCGGGGAATAAAATCTTCATTGCCTTTGTCAAGGAAACGTCGCACACCCAAACGGAAAATGAGAACAACATATTTTAATCATACAAAGTGCATCAGTAAAAGACGAAAATTTGCGGGCTAGCGGCGAATCGAGCTAAGCAGCAGACAAATGAGTGAAAAAAAAACTCCCTCGCCACGCCACGCCAATCCATGGCAACGGAGGAAAAACTTCGCGACGGACAAGCGTCACGAGGTGAGGCGCGGCGGAGCACGCGAGTCGCACCTGATCGGCGAGCATGCGCGCCATGCGCTCCGCCTTCTCCTTCTCCGCGCGCCGCTTCTCGTCCAGCTTGCGACTCTTCGCCACCCACGCCATCAGATCGTCGCCCGCATCGCCGCCGCCGTTCGCAGCCGCGGCGGCATCGCCTTTGCGAGGCTTGGGAGCCATGCGCGCGTCACTGGAGGAACAGTTATTGATTGTACAGAGACAGGCTAGCCGATGGTTGTGGGATTGTCATGTAAATGACAGTGCACTGCACAAGCATCTCTTGTGAAATTGGTTCACTATGTTTGTACAGTTGCGATGTCACGCCAGCCCAATAGCGCGTATTTGCCCTTCCGGAACAAGAGCTAGCGAAACCTCTTGTAGGGGCATGTAGGAAATGTAGGGGCAAAGCATGCTGTCGCATGCATCTTCGTTACGCTTGAGACGGGCGTGTTCAATTTTCAGATTTCACAAGCTCCAGAAATGGGTTCAAACACTTCAGACTCTTGTGGTCGGATTTTTTTTCGAACAAATGGTCTTCCAGAGATTCCGATGCATCGCTCCTTGGAGTGTTAACGCTATGCTGTAAATGCGTTCTAAATGACCCGGTCCAAGCGACTTTGAATCTGCTTGGTTCGGAGGACTGGGGCTTTCCGGACTAGGGAGTTTCCTTCTCCCAAAGCCTCGTCGCTCCGTCGCTGGCGCATGTGCGGTCTTCCTCGCACTTCGTCTTCCATGCCTGGTCAGCCCCGTGCGCTCCAACCATTCACGCGTCGCGATCCGTTGGAGACCCGCGAGTGAGTAATTTGGCGCTACACGGGCAATGGACCAAGGAAAACTGTTTTGAGAAAGCGGGACAGTGAGGTCGCAAGCATTCTGCTACTGCAGCGGTCGGATGCATTATTACGAGCGATTTCTGAAGTATTCGCCGTTGCGGCTCTGGCCCGTTACTGCAAGGGAGCGGGCCTTGCCGTGGTGTTGATCCCTGCTTGATCACTGCGATCGTCGCATGCGTGCTCCCATCCCGCCCACCCAACCCTTGCGTGTTCCTTGCAGCCTCGTCTTCCTTCCGCGTGCGTCGGGTTTATCCGGCGCACAAGCGAAGACCGCGTTTCCCCGTTGTGGATCCAGAAGGGGTCAGCCTGGAACTTTGCGCCTGCATGGCCGTCGTTTAGGGGATCGTCGCTCAAGCGATTTTTTCGCAGGGGATTGTCGCCCAACGGAGCGTCGCGTGTGGCGTGTGATCGATAGGAGTAGCAAGGGGGTCCGATTCATTTTCGAGGGCTTGCGCAGCGGCCCCCCATGGCGACTAAGGTGCGGTGGGGTTGTGGGGTGGTGCAGCTGATGCCTTGGTGCACGGGTAGCGGGCGATCAGAGGCGCGATGCAGTGAAGCGAGGGGCGAGTGCAACTGTGGTGTTCCAGGACCCTCCTTCGCCCTTTCCCCGCGCCCTTCACTCTTGATGACGTCTGCTCCTCTCCTCTACGGTGCCTCGTTCCTTCCCTCACCTTCTCCCGTGCCTCCCACTCCCACTTCCCACGCCCCACCCCTCATGCTGCACGCCGACAGAAGCAGTCGCAATCGGGCCTGCTCTCGTCCCTATTAAAACCAGATGTTGCGGAGGATCAGGTATGACGTGGATGACATGAATGAGGATGACATGAGTGGTGGGAAGGCCAGGTACAAGTTGGCAAGCAGGATGGCGCATGAGGTGGAAGGTCGGAATGTGCTACACTTTGGTACTGGTAGGTGTTTCTGACTTTTACGAACACGCAGAACCACGCACCATGTGCTTGGTATGAAGCCAATGTCCCTCTTTCACGAAAGCAACATATGTATGACCTAAAAACTGCCTTTTCTGATTCCCCTGTTTTTGTTCAATTCCGTTCCTTCCATTGCCGCCCTCTGCCCCTTCCCACGCCAACCCACCCAACTGCATGTGCAGGATGCGTTCAAGGACGTGCTGTACTGGATGCGCCAGGTGCGCACCGTGCTCTTTGGTCGACTCAAAAGTCACCTCGCCCTCTGCCCTCCCACCGGCCCTCATCCCCCCCGTGCAGGATGCGTTCAAGGACGTGCTGTACTGGATGCGCCAGGTGCTCGCGGTGCTCTTCGGCGTGGTGTGGGGCATGGCGCCCATCACAGGCGGCATTGGGATCATCGGGTCAGTTGCGCCTGTCTGGGGGGTGTGGGGATGTTTAAGGCTGCTGTCGGTGGTGAGTAGTGGGCAGGATAGTGGGTTGGTGATTTTTCGGTTTCATAGTGTGCATTGGCTGCTTTGTTGAATCTGTGCTACCGTGGGGAGAGCAAGTCAGTATTGCAGACTGAAGAGGCCCAAGTGAGTCGTTGCCCTGTTAATTCTCCAATCACATGCCGGCAATATCATCTCGTTCTCTCATTTCCTTTCATCCACCGGCTGTGAGGCAGCTTCCTGTTGTTGAGCACGGCGGTGATGATGGGGTACTACATGCTGGTGGTGAGAGAAAGGATTGCCTCACATGCCATCATCTCTTTCTCCCATTCCCGTTCTTCCACCGGCTGTGAGGCAGCTTCCTGGTGTTGAGCACGGCACTAATGATGGGGTATTACACGCTCGTGGTGAAGGTGGATGCGGACGAGCTGGGCGGCCACGGGGCACTGCTGCAGGAGGGCCTCCTCAACTCCTTTGGCGTCTTCCTGGTCAGTCGCATCCGTTCCCATGCTGCTCAGCACAAGCATCCTTTCCTGGTTCCTCATGTCTGCTGTACCATTTTGGTAAGGTGTGTTCCGAGTCTTTTCACAACACACCTGGTCGGTCTCATCCGTCCCCATGCTGCACAGCGCAAGCATCCTTTCCTGCTTTCTCGTGTGTGCTGGGCACAGTGCACTCTTGGTAATGTGACTGGTTGGAGCTCGCCTGTCGTTGGGATTGACTTGTTGCTCAGGTCGAGGGTTGAGATATCTCCCCACTCCATCAGAAACTGTTCCGCTCTGCTCTCTTCCCATGTTCTCATCTCATCCCTGCTTGCCCTGCTGCAGCTCGTTTGGATACTGCTATTCACATATCTGCACTCCTCATGAGGTGGCGCATTTGGATGATTGTAGCACCTTGCCATGCAGCCTGACCACTGTTCCTAGTGTTGAGACACACTAAGACCTGTGCTAGCCAGTCATAATACGGTATTCATGTTTCCTCTTGGGCAGGCCTTCAGATTCGTTTTGGGCGACCCTTAGTAATCAGGGTCCTAGGTATACTCAACCCTGATGCTCAGGGTAATTTTTTTGTTTCCCTGACAAATGCAGGGTAAAAAAATTGTAAGTCTGTTTGGTCAGGGTATTTAATACAAAATACATATATAAATAGTGCTAAAACAAACAGTGTAGCAGTTGTTGGCTCAGTTGGTTCGATTCCGAGTGAGATCTAGAAGGTCGCCGGTTCTAATCCGTTGTCGGGAGGATTTTGCTGTTGTTTTCGTCTCGCTATGGTCTGTTCGGATCAGCGTGTCTGGGCTTGTACACTGTACAGTCAGAGAAATATGTTCGTTACGCTGTTTTTCAAAGGGTATTAAAAATCTTACACTTTCTGGCCTAGGGTAAAAAATCCACTACCCTGCCTGTGAAAGGGTAACTGAAAAAAAGCGGCCGCCAGTCAGTGCAAAAAGGGTATTTTACCCTGATAACGAGAGGCCTGCTCTTGGGATCCTAAAATTGCACTCACCACTAGAGTGGATGTTAGAATTCCAGCCACTAGACCACTGGGATAAAAGGGCTTGTTTGTGTAGCGGGTGTGCCCATAACCCTCCAGGCAAACGCGCCTGTAACCCCCCTAGGATCAATCGGGAATCTCACAGTGCAGATCTATTGACAGCGGAGTCTTGTGTAGACGGATTCATTTGATTGCCAAAAGTCTTGTTGAGAAAGCTCGATTTTTGTACCGTATTCCCGGACGTAACACCCCCCCATAATTGTACACCCCCGGGTAGCTTGTGCGGGGTGGGTGCTATGGACGACCTCGTTTCTGTCAGAATCCCAGTCACTAACCACTGGGATAAAAGGGCTTGTTTATATAGCGGGTGAGTGCGCCCATAACCCCCCAGGCCGACGTGCCTGTAACCCTTCCCTAGGATCATCGGGGATCTCCAGTGGACCTCTGACACCCCCCCGCACTGGGATGCCCGAAGTGCACACACCGGGAATCGAACCCGAGACCTTCGCTCTGATACCATGTCAGAATCCCAGTCACTAACCACTGGGATAAAAGGGCTTGTTTATATAGCGGGTGAGTGCGCCCATAACCCCCCAGGCCGACGTGCCTGTAACCCTTCCCTAGGATCATCGGGGATCTCCAGTGGACCTCTGACAGTTTCTACTTTTTTTGGATGATTTTTTATAACACCCACCTTTTCTTTCATATTCTATTTTATACTTGTTAACGAGTAGGTGCACGGGAGGATATCGCGAAAATCTCTCCATCGATGAAATTTCCTCGTTCTTTCACTTCAAATATGTCTAGATTTTCCCCCGCCTACTTTGTCAAGAATCTAAGCGAGAATGGATGCATTGAGCAGAGAAGTGGGTACAAATGCTAACCCTAATTTGGGTTGTACCCCTTATGGGCTACCCCACTACAGCCTACACAGCACAAACATCATTATAGTTTGACACACCCCCATAGGCAAAGTGGGGAGAACTAGTGGTCACAAGCAGGCCTTCAGATTCGTTTTGGGCGACCCTTAGTAATCAGGGTCCTAGGTATACTCAACCCTGATGCTCAGGGTAATTTTTTTGTTTCCCTGACAAATGCAGGGTAAAAAAATTGTAAGTCTGTTTGGTCAGGGTATTTAATACAACATACATATATAAATAGTGCTAAAACACACAGTGTAGCAGTTGTTGGCTCAGTTGGTTCGATTCCGAGTGAGATCTAGAAGGTCGCCGGTTCTAATCCGTTGTCGGGAGGATTTTGCTGTTGTTTTCGTCTCGCTATGGTCTGTTCGGATCAGCGTGTCTGGGCTTGTACACTGTACAGTCAGAGAAATATGTTCGTTACGCTGTTTTTCAAAGGGTATTAAAAATCTTACACTTTCTGGCCTAGGGTAAAAAATCCACTACCCTGCCTGTGAAAGGGTAACTGAAAAAAAGCGGCCGCCAGTCAGTGCAAAAAGGGTATTTTACCCTGATAACGAGAGGCCTACTCTTGGGATCCTAAAATTGCACTCACCACTAGAGTGGATGTTAGAATTCCAGCCACTAGACCACTGGGATAAAAGGGCTTGTTTGTGTAGCGGGTGTGCCCATAACCCTCCAGGCAAACGCGCCTGTAACCCCCCTAGGATCAATCGGGAATCTCACAGTGCAGATCTATTGACAGCGGAGTCTTGTGTAGACGGATTCATTTGATTGCCAAAAGTCTTGTTGAGAAAGCTCGATTTTTGTACCGTATTCCCGGACGTAACACCCCCCCATAATTGTACACCCCCGGGTAGCTTGTGCGGGGTGGGTGCTATGGACGACCTCGTTTCTGTCAGAATCCCAGTCACTAACCACTGGGATAAAAGGGCTTGTTTATATAGCGGGTGAGTGCGCCCATAACCCCCCAGGCCGACGTGCCTGTAACCCTTCCCTAGGATCATCGGGGATCTCCAGTGGACCTCTGACACCCCCCCGCACTGGGATGCCCGAAGTGCACACACCGGGAATCGAACCCGAGACCTTCGCTCTGATACCATGTCAGAATCCCAGTCACTAACCACTGGGATAAAAAGGCTTGTTTATATAGCGGGTGAGTGCGCCCATAACCCCCCAGGCCGACGTGCCTGTAACCCTTCCCTAGGATCATCGGGGATCTCCAGTGGACCTCTGACAGTTTCTACTTTTTTTGGATGATTTTTTATAACACCCACCTTTTCTTTCATATTCTATTTTATACTTGTTAACGAGTAGGTGCACGGGAGGATATCGCGAAAATCTCTCCATCGATGAAATTTCCTCGTTCTTTCACTTCAAATATGTCTAGATTTTCCCCCGCCTACTTTGTCAAGAATCTAAGCGAGAATGGATGCATTGAGCAGAGAAGTGGGTACAAATGCTAACCCTAATTTGGGTTGTACCCCTTATGGGCTACCCCACTACAGCCTACACAGCACAAACATCATTATAGTTTGACACACCCCCATAGGCAAAGTGGGGAGAACTAGTGGTCACAAGCAGGCCTTCAGATTCGTTTTGGGCGACCCTTAGTAATCAGGGTCCTAGGTATACTCAACCCTGATGCTCAGGGTAATTTTTTTGTTTCCCTGACAAATGCAGGGTAAAAAAATTGTAAGTCTGTTTGGTCAGGGTATTTAATACAACATACATATATAAATAGTGCTAAAACACACAGTGTAGCAGTTGTTGGCTCAGTTGGTTCGATTCCGAGTGAGATCTAGAAGGTCGCCGGTTCTAATCCGTTGTCGGGAGGATTTTGCTGTTGTTTTCGTCTCGCTATGGTCTGTTCGGATCAGCGTGTCTGGGCTTGTACACTGTACAGTCAGAGAAATATGTTCGTTACGCTGTTTTTCAAAGGGTATTAAAAATCTTACACTTTCTGGCCTAGGGTAAAAAATCCACTACCCTGCCTGTGAAAGGGTAACTGAAAAAAAGCGGCCGCCAGTCAGTGCAAAAAGGGTATTTTACCCTGATAACGAGAGGCCTGCTCTTGGGATCCTAAAATTGCACTCACCACTAGAGTGGATGTTAGAATTCCAGCCACTAGACCACTGGGATAAAAGGGCTTGTTTGTGTAGCGGGTGTGCCCATAACCCTCCAGGCAAACGCGCCTGTAACCCCCCTAGGATCAATCGGGAATCTCACAGTGCAGATCTATTGACAGCGGAGTCTTGTGTAGACGGATTCATTTGATTGCCAAAAGTCTTGTTGAGAAAGCTCGATTTTTGTACCGTATTCCCGGACGTAACACCCCCCCATAATTGTACACCCCCGGGTAGCTTGTGCGGGGTGGGTGCTATGGACGACCTCGTTTCTGTCAGAATCCCAGTCACTAACCACTGGGATAAAAGGGCTTGTTTATATAGCGGGTGAGTGCGCCCATAACCCCCCAGGCCGACGTGCCTGTAACCCTTCCCTAGGATCATCGGGGATCTCCAGTGGACCTCTGACACCCCCCCGCACTGGGATGCCCGAAGTGCACACACCGGGAATCGAACCCGAGACCTTCGCTCTGATACCATGTCAGAATCCCAGTCACTAACCACTGGGATAAAAGGGCTTGTTTATATAGCGGGTGAGTGCGCCCATAACCCCCCAGGCCGACGTGCCTGTAACCCTTCCCTAGGATCATCGGGGATCTCCAGTGGACCTCTGACAGTTTCTACTTTTTTTGGATGATTTTTTATAACACCCACCTTTTCTTTCATATTCTATTTTATACTTGTTAACAAGTAGGTGCACGGGAGGATATCGCGAAAATCTCTCCATCGATGAAATTTCCTCGTTCTTTCACTTCAAATATGTCTAGATTTTCCCCCGCCTACTTTGTCAAGAATCTAAGCGAGAATGGATGCATTGAGCAGAGAAGTGGGTACAAATGCTAACCCTAATTTGGGTTGTACCCCTTATGGGCTACCCCACTACAGCCTACACAGCACAAACATCATTATAGTTTGACACACCCCCATAGGCAAAGTGGGGAGAACTAGTGGTCACAAGCAGGCCTTCAGATTCGTTTTGGGCGACCCTTAGTAATCAGGGTCCTAGGTATACTCAACCCTGATGCTCAGGGTAATTTTTTTGTTTCCCTGACAAATGCAGGGTAAAAAAATTGTAAGTCTGTTTGGTCAGGGTATTTAATACAACATACATATATAAATAGTGCTAAAACACAAGTATAGTAGTTGTTGGCTCAGTTGGTTCGATTCCGAGTGAGATCTAGAAGGTCGCCGGTTCAAATCCGTTGTCGGGAGGATTTTGCTATTGTGTTTCGTCTCGCTATGGTCTATCAGAATCACTAGGCAAGAATGAATGAACTAACAGAAGTTTGGGTACAAATATGAAACCCTAGTTGGGGTTGTACCCCATAT